TCCAGCTGTGGCTCATCAGGCCAAGATGAGCTTGGAAGGTTCCACCACAGGCCATAGGGAAGAGACCAGTAGAAAGGTTGAAGATTGGAGAGGGGGTCATGATGGAGTGGGAGTGATGGAGAGTATGGGGGCATGATGGAGAGGGAGTGATGGAGACTATGGGGGGCATGATGGAGTGGGAGTGATGGAGAGTATAGGGAACATGATGGGGGGGCATGATGGAGAGTATGGGGGCATGATGGAGAGGGAGTGATAGAGAGTATGGGGGACATGATGGGCGGCATGATGGAGGGGGCATGATGGAGACTATGGGGGGCATGATGGAGGGGGAGTGATAGAGAGTATGGGGGGCATGATGGGGGGCATGATGGAGTGGGAGTGATGGAGAGTATGGGGGGCATGATGTAGAGGGCATGATGGAGACTATGGGGGGCATGATGGAGGGGCATGATGGAGACTATGGGGGACATGATGGAGACTATGGGGGCATGATGGAGACTACAGGGGGCCTGATGGAGGGGCATGATGGAGGATATGGGGGGCATGATGGAGGGGCATGGCACCTGGAGGACGCTTGGCCTCAGCAAAGGATGACCACCTTATAATAAGAGATTGGGGGAAAAGGGGGGGTGGGGACACATTAAGGGGTCTTGAGCTAGGAAGGCAGAAGAGGGAGCTCATGCCTGTCAGGGTGCTCAGTAATATAAAAGGTGAGGTCCTCTGCTAAGAAGGCTCAAGAAAGGACAGTGCAGAGGCTTCAGGAGGGGAGCTAAGGTTTGGAATAGCTTCTCAGGGGAATACGTTAGGGAGCTGGGACTTAACTCAAGTCCTCTGACTCCCAACACAGGTCTTAGTCCTCAATAAACGCTTGTCGAGTTGGATTGTATCCATGCCTTTGGCCGGACCCCTCGGTTTCCATCCCTAGGATCTGGCATTGTCCCCAGGATCCAAAGGCAGCTTCTCCCCTAACAGAGGACAGTGACCCTCATTCTTCCCCCCAAAAGATAGCCTTCTAAACCAAGGGTTGCTGTGCCCCACTGGGAGAGAAGCTGCCTTGGGAGGTGGGGGAGTGAGCTTTCCTTTCTGGGAGGGCTTTAAAAACAGAGACTGGACCTTCACTGGTCAAATGTGTCATCAAAGAGACTTTTGTTCCGTGGTTCCTGAGGTCTCTGCCAGCTGATGTGTCTGGGATTCTTTTCCCCACCCTCACAGAGATTTTACAGACTGGCCTGGGCTTTTTCCAATGGGCCAAATTCACCACAATGCCCGGTGTCTCCAGAATGCTTTAGGCATTCTGTTCCCTAGAGGGGTCCTTCTGAAAATCACTACCTAAGGAGCCTGAGTGGGCTCTAAGGGGTCTTTATTCTAAGCCAGCTCCTAGGACTCCCTGGGCAATGGAACGTCAGTGAGTCATACAAAGCTTCATTAGTTTTCTTACTCGCAAAGGAAATCTCTTCACAGTCAACCGCCCATGGCTACCCGATCTCTTCTCATATTCCCATATCATGCTACAGGACATTCAGCCTTTGTCCAGCCATGAGTGAGAGGCCTTTTTATTCCATCGGCCTCCATCGGTGGGCACTGGGCATGCGATGAGAGTGCTGGGATTACAGCCTGCCCCTCATCTGATAGGAAGTTACCACCTTCTCTGACATACACACCAACCTTACCCAGAGTAGGTACTTGATTATGCTTATTAAGACAAATAACCCTATACTGTTCACCTGTCAAGGTTTCTAGGAGAAAATACTTGGTAAAAATTAGGGAGCCGTATAGAAATGGTCATTATTGTTACAGGAATGCTGTTAATATTGATTCTAGATAAGATCAGATGTTTAGGGATGAGTACACAGCCTTCAGAGTTCACAAAAGCACAGAATGGGAAAGTCGGAAGGAACTGTTGTGGCCACATACAGTGGGTCCACCCACCACTGGAACCCACCAGATGTTGTAGCCACATACAGTGGGTCCACCCACCACTGGAACCCACCAGATGTTGTGGCCACATACAGTGGATCCA